GTCGCTGCGGTGGCCGGGAGCGGCCACTGCACTCCAGTCTGGGCGACAGAGTGAGATTCCAACTCAAAAAAAGAAAAAGAGAGTCAGTCTCCACATCTGTGAAGTGGTAAATGTGCTGACCTAATAGCACTGCTGTGAGGTCATGGGAACTTTGGTAGATGGGTGCTCATTTAATTAGAGGAATAATTTATAACAAGCATCAACTTTTAGGGGTGTGATCATATAAACAAAGAGGAGCCATGTTACCTTTCAGCCTGAATTTCTTCCTTTCAGATACATACTTACATAACTATTTTTTTCCTTGTGTAATTGCATGGGTTGCAACTAAAAAATAGTTCTTTTCTTATTTTATTTTATTTTATTTTATTTTTTTTTGAGTTGGAGTCTCACTCTGTCACCCAGACTGGAGTGCAGTGGAGTGCTGCTGCGCTCAGGTGATCCTTCCGCCTCAGCTCTCCAAGTAGCTCGAACTACAGGCACTTGCTACCGCACCTGGCTAATTTTTGATTTATCGTAGTTATGTGGTCTCATCAAGTTGCCAGGTGTGTCTCAAACCTGTGGACTCAGGCAATCCTCTCACCTCAGCCTCCCAAAGTGCTGAGATTACACGCTTGAGCCACCGTGCCCGGCCTTAATTTTTTATTTATTGTAGAGATAAGGTCTTACCAAGTTGTCCAAGCTGATCTCGAACCCCTAGACTAGGCAATTCTCTCACCTGGACCTCCCAAAGTGCTGGGATGACAGGCTTAAGCCACCATACCCGACACTCTAAGTTAAAGTTTTACATAGTCTTATCAGTTCTCAAAAGGAGAGTACATGACGCAACCTACACCTTTGTCAATGCCTAGAATTTAGGGGGTTCCAGTGAGCACCCGCAGACTTCACAGGGGTCTCATGGCAGCCGAATTTTGACGTTAGTCTAAAGCAGTGGTTCTCGGCCCGGGGTGTTTCTGTCTACCAGGCGTTTGGCAGCGTCTGTGCTTGATGATCGTGACCAACTCCAGATGACTGTGCTGTGGCATCTGGTGGGCAGAGGCTAGGGCTGCCGCTAGGCATCTGACAGCCCTCGCAGAGCAGAACCACCTGGCCTGGAGTGTCGTTCGAGCTGGGCCCGAGAGACACTGCCCGGCCACAAGAAGCGCCTGCAGGCCCTGTCTGGATGCAGACGGGACTCTCCAAGGAGAGCAGCCGGCGACTTGGGGCTGGGTGTCCAGGCCCTGCTGGCCCCTGCCCCGTGCCATGCTGCCTTACCCGTAGGAATGTCCAATGAGCACGTTCCGCTTCTTGGCGTAGCGCTGGAAGACAGCCCGCATGTCCTCAGCCAGCGCATAGAAGGTGTAGGCCGCGGCCACCTGCGGCGCGGAGCTGGCCCCATGGCCGGCCAGGTCGGGCGCCACCACCTCGTAGCCCAGGCGCACGAAGAAGTCCAGCTGCTCCTTCCAAATGGCCAGGGAGCCGCCAACGCCGTGGATGAAGAAGAGCACGACATCTGCCTGGGCGCCCTGGCAGCTGGTGACGTGCCTCTCGCAGTCAATGTGGACGGTCCTCTTGGGGCGCCGGGCACGCCGCCGCCCGCCGCCCGGGGCTGAGCGGCCGTCGCTGCCTGCTGGGTCCGCCAGCTCCACCTCGAGGGCAGCGGGTGGCTCCCCAGAGCCACGCTGCCCAGGCAGGAGGTCAG